AAAATAAATAAATGCTCTTAATTGTGTTTCCTGATTGACTGACTGGTTTAGTTTAAATCCAAAGAACGATTCCAGTGAGCCAGCATGCACAGAGCCATCAGAGCGCTTTTACTATAAATGTTATTTGTTTGACTCGTCTAAACCGTTTGTCATGTTTCAGTTTCAATTTTTGTTAGAATATGTTTTCACTTCTCTGCTCTTAAACTAGACATTTCTCATTGCGGGCAGAATACATTTTGAAACGGGTGTAACTAATACCATAAATTATACTTGTACTCCAATTAAGTACCACTTCCAGAGCCCCATTATGTCCCACTGGCTTTCTAGCTCTAAATGAAACGGCATTGTTCGTGTTATCAGGTACATCTGCATCTTTCTCTGCATACTTCCTTTCCTGGCTTCAGCTTCAGATGTTCAAAGTATATTCACGATTAGGAGCCACTCGATCCTTTAATTGTGATTTTACAAATTAAAAACCGTGATAGCAGTGATCTTTGGGGGAGTGTAAGGTTCAGAAATGGCAACGACTGAAGTCCCACTCAGAAAAATGTGTTTGTACTTCACTTGAATGTGTTAGCTTCACTGTGCAGAATGATATGTGTGCAGGTTGTTTTCACATTGACCTGCTGGAGGTTTCTCTGTACTCACCTTAAATATCAGTTGATGAAGTTTATGTAAAAAAAAAGAAATAGCATATCAGATACAACTTACTATTCAAAGTATTTTATACATACTTTGAAGTGTTAGGCATCTCTATAACCTGACACTTGTCCTGATTAGTAGTCTTAACATTGTTTGTGGCTGCAGCTTTACATCAGTCATTGCCTACATTGCTGGTGAATATCAGTCACAGATACCTCCAAATAATGTGACTAAAGGAAAAACTCAAATAAATCATGAGGACGTGCCATGCAGTATGGAAACTAAGCTCAATATTTACTGAAGAGCTATGAAATGCAAAGTGTTTGTTATTTTTGACTGCTCCTTTCGTGTTTTTAAGGTGAACTGTCCCTTTAAGACACAGGGACACTGTCTCTTTAAGACGTTCGCGCACGGCACGCTCAGCCAACACGCGCCTGTATTCTGAGGTGAACTATAGTAAACACAAAACAAGAGCTTCGTTTTAGTTGCTCACAGCATTTACAACTTCAGACTTTAGACCATGCTAGCATCATGCTGCGCAATGCTCCAGGTGCTTAACACCGACGGGTCTGCGCAGGCGTGAGAGGAAGGTGCAATAAAAGTCCTACCAAATTAAAGGCTTGCATTAAAAAAAAAAAGCTATGACTGACAAGAGCGCCGTGTCAGTGCGCGGAGCGTCTGTCTGAGCAGCGGTGAAGTGGAAGCAGAGACTGAAGAAGAGACGTCAAATCCACAGTAAATCATGTCAACACCAGGCAGTGCCGAGGGCCGAGCCCACACCGGGACGAAGCGGTTCATCAGTGGAGTGGTGGAAGGTGAGCAGACCAGAGTGCAGTGTAGAGCCAGCTGGAGCTCAGCTCAATCAAGAAGCAGATCTTGTAGAAGTGCAGTCGGGACTTCTGGTATTTGATGCATGACGTGACCTTTGCTTGATGCAGGTTTTTACGGGCGACCATGGACTATGGAGCAGAGAACGGAGCTGTTTAAAAGGTGCGTGCGAGGAACAAGTGCAGGAACACGACTGAAAGTGGGGGTTGAATACAATTTTCAAACAGTCACATGACAAGAGAGCCTGTCTTGAAAATGGCATTTGCTTCCTATTAGTTTGTTGGCCCACACTGGTGTTATTATGGTGTCATTAGACCTTCATCAACACCTCCTCAGGTAATATAATTAAAACAAAATCATCTCCCCCATAATAACAATCATATCAGGATAATAGTAATTTTTAGGTTATATATACCTCTAAATAAGCCACAATGCAGAAATGTAATGGTCATATTCAATCATGTATTGGTAGAAATATAAAACGCTGTTCTCTTGCATACAGGGGAGAGGTTAACATCACTGGACAAACAATATTTAGCAAACATGAATGTGCTGTCTCCTGATGCCTCGTTTCTTCTCTCACGACCCTGTACGCACACAGAATGATCCACTGTGCTCACGATCCTTTCTCATCACATAGCAGCTGATATGTAATATGTGAGGAGATTGTTGATTGCTGGCGTTGGGTTTCACAGAGAGCAGAAGTGGGGTTTGAACACGTACTTTTACGCCCCGAAGAATGACTACAAACACAGGATGTATTGGAGGGATCTGTACTCTGCAGAGGAGGCAGGTGAGTTTCAGCCCTTCACATGTCCTTGTTAGGGATTGAATGACATCACAAATATCATCTCGCCAATATCATCGTAGTACATGTCGGTACCAGGATACTCCATTTAATAACTAAATCAAAAGACTTAAAAACAGAACAGATGTGGTTCTTTTCAAACTATACTTGTTTCTCATTTAGTATCAGTGTCATACCAAAGTCCTATTCTGATTCATCACTATCTCCCGACACACATTTTTAATTGCTCAGTTTGGAGCCTCTCTTTTTGCATCTTATCAACAGTGTTGCGTACTGTAGGGCAGTGGGGATTTGAAGTTTGACCCATCATGTCTCCGATGACTCCTGTCCAAACAGACAGTGGACTTTGGTCCGTCACAGATTTGTTTGTTCGTCTCATCTCTTATTCTTATTCCCAGGACAACTCATCGCCCTGATATCAGCAGCTAAACAGCACGACGTTGAGTTCATCTATGCCATCTCTCCTGGCCTGGACATTACTTACTCCAACCCCAAAGAGGTCGCCGCTCTGAAGAGGAAACTGGATCAGGTTAGGACTTGTTATGCAGAGATGAAGGGTGGAGCAGGAGAGATGATTTAATCTCAGCTGTATGTAGCTTTATGGCTCCCTTAGGGATTTGGTTTGGACACCATATTACTTTACGTGAAACATGCAGCAGTAAAATAGAAGCATTTAATACACTGAGAGTAGGTCAACGGGCAAACGATAGCGCTGACACAGCTGCAGGTGGTCGGTTCAATCCCTGGTGGAATAATTTTATTATCCAAAAAGAAAATGTACATCGTCAGGAGCTAGAAAAATACAATGATGGTAAGATCTGAAGCTGTCCTCTCTGTCCCCCAGGTGAGGCACTTTGGCTGCAGGTCCTTCTCTTTGCTGTTTGATGACATTGAGACTGAGATGTGTCCAGCTGATAAGCAGGCCTTCAGCTCCTTCGCCCACGCCCAGGTGGCCATCACGAATACAGTGTACCAGCACCTGGGTGACCCCGAGACCTTCCTCTTCTGTCCTACAGGTCAGGCAGCGGGGTTCCCTAAAACTGGGGGGGGGGAAGCGCACAGAAGTTTGTTTTTGTAAACAAAAATGATTTCGTCCTTTTGAACACAGCCTGGGGAGTTTTAAGCATGTACACACTGTGTGATAGCTTTACATATGACGCTGTTCTTTGTCACTGTTTTCTATCATTCACACTTGTTCTGTCCCTGTCACTCCAGATTATTGTGCTGCATTCTGTACTCCCAATGTGTCCCAGTCCTCGTACCTGCACACGGTGGGAGAGAAGCTGCTGCCTGGGATCGACGTACTGTGGACTGGTGAGGCTGCACTGACCCAGAACCTCACTGAACCTGCGCAGAAGGATATATAACACAGGTGCTCTCTGTCTCTCTCCTATTTGTGTTGTTTAGGTCCCAAAGTGGTATCCCACAAAATCTCTGTCGAGTCCATAGAAGAGGTGTCCTCCGTGCTGAAGAGGGCACCAGTCATCTGGGACAATATCCACGCAAACGACTATGACCCCCAACGGACTTTCCTCGGCCCCTTTAAGGTCAGTTTATGGGTTGAGATGTCTGTATAAGCTCCAGTCTGAACTGCATCCAGAAATAATGAACATGATCTCCTCCTGTTAGGATCGTCCCACTGAGCTGATTCCCAAACTGGGAGGAGTGCTCACCAATCCAAACTGTGAGTTCTACCTCAACTTTGTGGCCATCCACACCTTGGCTACATGGTGCAAAGCGACCGCTGACGGAGCACAGAGGGATGTGGAAATGGGTGAGTGTCTAGTTTTTCTTTAAATGAAATAACACTCTCTGTGCTGCTTTTTACTGCATCCATCAGCTTTGGCGCATACACAGAGTATCCCTGCACAAATTTGACTTTTTTTTTTAACTTTGCCAATACAGCGATGTGACTATTTGTAGTGAATGTGGGGAAGGAGCTGCGATGGTCCGCCCTACGGCCATGTTTTCCAAAACTCAAGATGGACAAGATCTTGCCATATACGTCCAAAATACCATCTAGCTCATGCAGGTCTCGAGTGTGAACCTGAACCGAGACCAGGGGCTGCTTGAAGTCTTTATAAAACGGTTGACGCAGCTCATCTTTAGGAGCTGACTTGCTAATTGCATTCAAACTTCTTGTGACATAAAACACAGTTTGTCCAGAGGTGATCAAACCCAGAAATCTGAGAATAGTGACACAATCGGATGGACAATAAAACAAAAGCAGAAGCCTGTAATATATGATATATTTGAAGAGTGGACTCACTGTCTCTGACCTCCATCGCCAGGCGACGAGGAGCAGGACCCCTGCTACAGCCCCCAGAAAGCCCTGACCCGGGCCCTCACTGACTGGCTGCAGGAGTTTCTGAGCACCGATCAACCTGGAGGTAGTGAGTCATGAACCCTTAACGTTCAACCACAAACTGTTTAATGGTATCCGAAAAACAAAGCGTGTCATCGCCCTCCTCATCCTCCCAGGCCCTTGTCGTCCTCCAGCTCGTCTCAAGAAGGAGTCGTCCGACGAGGAGCCCATGCAGACAGACGTGGGAGAGAGCTCCTATGCTCCTGGACCCGGGGAGAACCCGCTCTACACAGCAGAGCCCCTGTCTCTGGATGACCTGAAGCTGCTGTCCGACCTCTTCCACCTGCCGTACGAACACGGCCCGGCAGCCAGGGCCATGCTGCAGGATCTGGACTGGCTCAAGAAACACAGTGGGGCCGCCGCTGCGGAGACGGACGAGGTAGTGTTCCGTGTTTTAGATTAAAGCAGATAATGTTGTGAATAATTATCCTCGTCCTGTAAATTCATGCTTGAACACTGTTTTTGTTTTGTTTTGTTGTTTTAGACTGCAGAGTGGCGCTCCAGAGCGCAGCAGTTTGATGGCACGTGTGAAGCGGTGGTGCAGATGTTCAATCGTCTGTCAAACGCCCCGAACCGCAGCATTCTGTACGACCTCTACAACTACATCTGTGACATCAAGAGCGGGGTCGATCTGGCTCGAGCCTACGTGAAAACACTCAGTGAGACAAAAATCCTTTTAATGCCGATTAAACCACACATGCTGGCATGTAAGGGACACAGTGTGTTCGGGGGGGGGGAGGAGCTGCTGTTGAATCCGTAACAGTCAGCCATCATGTTGTGTGTTGTCCTTAGGAGGGGAGAGTGGACCCTCAGCCAAGCCAATGAACGAGGACCCTGAACCCTGGGGCTTCAGAGGAGGCCTCTCTGGAGAGTTCCAGGTAACTTAAATAGTGTCTCAAGACATTGACTTATTTGACCACTTAGTTTAGAATGTGTCATTAAAAGGACATCTAGTGAATCTCTTTTCCAGTGTAGGTCCACATGCATGTAAACTGTTTGTTTGAACTTGCAGAGAATGCTGCCTTGCCACGGAAACAGGGACCTGTTCAGACATCCTCCCGCGACGGCCGTTTACAGCATACGGGAGTACTGCACTGAGGACAAGGTGAGGATGCCAGCTTTTTTAAATAAATTTTTTATTTAGCATTGGTGTTACAGTTTTGTTTTCTGTACTAGCTGGAGGTGCAAAGGATTTCCAGGGAGATGCAGAGTGCAGGAGAGAGCAAAGTCCCCGTGATGATGCAGCCTCCACTTCTCTGTGACGGGTAAAGATAGAGTCGAGTTTCTCTCCAGAGTGTTTGTGCTTTTCTTCTTCTGTCTTAACGTTCCCTCTGGCCCCCCGCAGCCTGTCAGCAGGGGAGATCTCCCCTTCCCCTCAGTGTGCTCTCGTCCTGGAGGATGAGATCGGGGTGTGTGGTTACGCCCTGGCACTCACCGACGCCAAACCAGCCGCAACCAAGATTCAGGTGATCAAATGCAACAGACAGTTGTTTTTTTAGAATACAAGAGGAAAATCAAATGCATTTATTTATTTATTTTGTATTTTATTTGATCTCATAACTCTAGAGGGCAGTAAGTGAATCAGTGTTCAAGGACTTCCCCTCCCTGGTTACCGTACAAGTGCTGCCCCGGGTCACCGATCCCTCTCCAGCCAAGCGCATGATTGGTCGGCTGTTGTCCTCCATCAGGAGCAGTGGTAGGTCAACGCCTCGCACAATGCCTTTGATCATTTTGAGAAGTGCCTCATGGAATTGGCCTGCTACCATTTCACAAACGTTCAACAAGCTGCATGTTCTCCACAAGGAGGAGCTGTTCAGTCATTGTCACAACCACTCTACACCTGCCAACCTCTGTTTGTAAGGAGGGGAATTCACAGCAGCATCAGTTTATCCCTGCAGCTGTTGCACTTTTAACACTAGTGCCAGCTGAGAGTTGAAGCTTAGTTAATTTTTTTTTCAAATACAATCCAGGTAGGAAGACCCTCCTTCCCCTCTCCAGAGTAAAAGGACATAAGATAGCTCTGAGCAGCAGCATTCAGCAGAATATATGCTCGAGTACAGGTCCAACTCTGGAGGCACCGCTCGTCTGCATTAATACTCGCTGCTCTTAAAGGGCGTAGCATCCCTGATGCCGCAGGAATTTGTTCCAATATTTAGCAATTCCATTCTAAAACACAATATCGATCCTTTTCTAGGACATCAGAGAATAAACATTACATCACTTATCTTTTAAGGTTCCAGAGGAGTCTTCTGTGAGTTGAGGCAGAACGATCTGAGGATGCACGACTTCTACGCTAAACTGGGCTCCTTCAAGCCCGTACAAATACCGGGGCTACCCGAAGACATCTTCGCCATGGGAACAAGCTTATAAACCAGATGAGTCACAAGACTCTTCCTCAGGTTTGAAATGTTTTGAGATGAAACTGAGAGTAATTGCTTTCTGTGCAGCTTGTCAAACTGGAATCCGTCGTAGTTTTTGATCAGTTAATATCGTTATTTCTATCATTTAGAAGTTATCATCATTGTCCTCCTGCAAAGTTACACGAGTCAATGAAATGCTTCATGAAATGTGTGCGATAAATTACAGAATAATGATGAAGTGTAATACGACATTTTTAAATGGAACGAGATTCATTTTTTTGATCAATGAGTTTTTTTTAACGCAGCACAATACAAATGTTGCACATTAAAAACAAGATGTCAAAACATTGAAACAAGAGAACATGTTTTTATTATTTGCATTTTGAAAGGATACAAAATGAACTTATGAATGGTTTCCGTTTAAATAAAGTAGCTGGTGTTTATGACAGAGTCCTGTCTGAGCAGGTAAGATAAAAACAAAGTAATGGGTGAGTTTAATATTTCAAGTTCTTTAAGGACATTCCTTAAAAACATTTAATCCTGAGTGTCTGACCAGCAGAGGAGAAGAGATCCACATTACCTGCTGTTTGATAAACTGACGGCTACTCATTCATAGTCATTTACCCAGACTCCTCTAGAATGTCAGTGGTGTCTTATTATAAAAGCATTAAAAGATCTCATAAGGTGGAGACCTTCTGTGTGGCTGGTCACAGATGAGGCCCAAACTGCCTTCTCCTCTACCTACCATTGTTCCTCTCAATTTTAATACTATATTATTATTATATATAATCATGGAATATATACTTTTGGGTCATACCACATTATTGCACAGTAGAACTGAGAGGGGAATGTAATACTAAGGACTGAAAACAAGTGTTGCAAGTACACAGTCCGCTTCTTAATCTTCGCTGTCCGTCTCAAATGAACTCCAGTCCTTCAAACTTCACGTTCCCTATCTTTGTCTCGGGCATCAGCACCCGACCGTCTAGCGTAAACGCAATGATGTAGGTGGCAATCCGGCCTGCGTCCTCCTCCGACTTCAGGGCCACGACGATCTGATCGTCCGTGTCAGGAACAAATTTGAACGAGGAGAAGCCGTGGGTCGGGTCGAGCGGGCCGACATGCCGCACCGTCGTGTAGCTGAAGTCCGCGGGGCAGGACAGGAGGAGGTTGGTGGCACGCCGCTCGTCCGCGGTCTCTTCGTAGTGCTCGTGACTGGCGCGGCGAGGGAGGAAGAACCAGCGCTGGAGACGCTCACTCCACGCTGCCGATTCATGGATGAGGTAGCCTAGAGAACACGGGAAATAGAAGGAAGAGTGGGAGGAATTATTAAGTTGTATTTGGGTGACAAACTAAAATCTCTTAAGTGTCCTCACTCAAAACCCAGATAATACCTGAGTTTATACAATGTTTTATTTGCTCATCTGCGTCGGTGAGCAGGTTTTATTCATTTATTTTTAGATTAAGGAACCTTTGACATCTGAAACCCAAACTATTCCCTTGGTTCCACTCATGTGTGATACCACTGCCCTAATGGCTGTATGTGGACAGGACTATAAAGAAGAAGAACCTGGTGGTTGTATCCCCGTTGCGCTCCGCAGGGCGTTGTAGTACGGCACCCAGTTCTCATGCTGCACGTTGCCGCGGTAGCCGACAACTTTCACCCACTCGGGGTGGTTGTTGACGACCTCTCCGGACGTCGTGGTCCACTCTTTGCCCAGGCCGCCAACATACAGTTGCTCATCTTTCACTGCCAGCCACTCTGCCTTGAATCCTGCACACGAAACGAGGACTGATTTGTGAGACGGTATGTGAATATCTTAAAATGGCCGAACAGCCTTTCCAAAGCTGTTTCTGTTTCTGTGTTTTCTGAAATATAGTGCACGACACACATTTAAACAATCTAAGACAGGCTGCATTGGTTGTATTCGGACTACATTTTTAAAAACCTGCTGTTAGAGGAAACCACAATGTTCCTTACGAGTTTGTTTGAGAGCTACATGTACTCAGTGGATCGACGTACGACTTCTTTTGGGGACTGACCTTTGGAGACTGAGCCGTCCCCGTCGGGTAGTATAACCCAGGGGACGGCCCGGTTGCCTTCGATCCTGTACACCACGCCCGTACGGTCGTCCACGCTGTACAGGTGACCGTTGAACGCCACCAGCTCAGACAGCTCCATACCTGCAGTCAAACAAACCAACATGCTGATGTGAGAACACAAACGTAGTGAGTGTAGATCAGTCTGTGTGTGTCCTTGTCTCTTCACCTCGTCCTTTCTCAGCCAGATGACTCTCCAGTGTGACCGTCTCAGCATCCCACTCCACCTCCAGTCTGTCAGCGCTGTCTGAAACGGTCAGGTGACCTCTCTTCATGTAGCTGAACCACGTCTGGTCCTTCGAGCTACGCGACGCCGTGTCCAGATCTGCGATCACACCGACACGGTAGCGGATGCCGTGCTTGGTCTTCTCCGGCGGACTTAACGGGTAAGTGTCATTGTACGGTTTCCCCCTCCTCTGGTGGCGTGAAAGGCTTCTCGCATTTTGCCTGTTCGTCTCTTGGAAGATGCCATCCTCGCCCTCGCTGTGCATTTGCAAACCATCAACCCTGTTGCGGTAGTAACCTCTGGCGGCGGTGTCTCTGTCCCCTACTGTGCGGTGCAGGTATAACATGAGCACTAAAGCCAGAAGGGTCGCCACAGTGATTGCCCGCCATTTAGGGTGGAAGCGGGAGTCTGAGGCGGTAGCTTGCCTCATGGACGCCAAGGCCAGGGGGAGGCCCCGGACAGCGACACCAAAGGAGGTCATGGAGGTGTCGTCGGCATCCTCGCTGTCAGGTTTGGACTTGGGGCGACGACCACTATTGCCTGGGGTTGAGCATAGAGAGGCACATTAGAGCCATGATCAAGGATGTGGTACAAAATAGACTGACGGAGGGAAGTTAGGGATATTAGCAGTTGACTCCAACTGCTAATATCACTTTTATTATTACTCACATTACTAATTCATATTACCGATAACATTAATGCACATTATTGACCTGCTTCTTCACCAGTCTCTGTGCTTTCTCGCATCACAGGTTCCTGTGTATCCGGGTTATACCTGGACCACATCTTGCCTCCTGCCGTGGTTCTGTTATACATTGAATGTGCTGTAATTCACTTATCCTGTTCCACACATGACATCTATTGCACTTCTGTCCATCCTGGGAGAGGGATCCCTCCTCTATTGCTCTCCCACAGGTCTCTTCCTCTTTTCTCCCCGTTAAAGGGGTTTTTTGGGGGAGTTTTTCCTGTTCCGATGTGAGGGTCCCAGGACAAGAGGATGTCAAATGTGTACATATTGTAAAGCCCTCTGAGGCTAATTTGTGATTTTGGGCTATACAAAAATAAATTGAATTGAATTGAAAGTGCAGTTGCAAACAATACCAGAAAAAAATGTATACATCTATACTTCCATTAAATTGTTTATGTATCGTTAATTTCAAATCTATATACAGTTCAGATAAAAAAAAAAAAAAAACACTGAAAACAATAGCAGGGGAAGATGAAGGAATGAACACGGGGGAGGAGGAAACATGTTGGAAAAATAGAATGTTGTTCCTCTTGTTCTTTGTTCACAACAAAGCTGTGTTGTCCCATTCGGGCACAATCTCCAATTTGCATACTGAGGAGGTAGCCGACATGTCCTACTGTCTCAGGACTACACGCGTACAAGTAACCTCGCTCTGTTCTGACCTGAATGTCAAATTATTTCTTCCTTCTGATCGCCAAATATGTATGTAAATGGTAACTGCATTCACTAGTGCAGTAAAAACAGCTCAGTTTTGTGGTTTTTTTTGTTTGTTTTTAGATGTTTTCGGTTTAACAGAAGGATTCGTGGTTCCCTGCGGTGTTTTGTAAGCAGCTCCAATAACCTGATTAAAATGAATACACGTATAACTTCACTAACCTACAGGGAGGCACACGTTCACACGTGTAATGAGTGCGACTGTTGCTTAGGCCCTCGTCTTAGTAACTACATTGATCACGAGAAGAGACGCGTGAGGACCTGGCTGGCTTATCACCTCTGCTGAAGCACATCCTTTGGGACTTCCTGTTCCTCTGTGGATTCAGTGACATGCCTGAAGCTCATCGACTAAAATGCACCGTCAAAAAGTTTAACAACCAAGGTCACCTTTCTCTGTTCCTGGGAGAATTATTTGGGAAATAATTTGCAGACACAAAATTGACCCGAACATCTACTTCTATAATTCTGCTGTGTAGTACTTTTGACCCGTCTCATGCCAGTTGTAGTCTGCTGTCGGTAGCCTTGTACACATGCATGTCACAAACAGCTCGTCTAAAGCTAGCAGCCTGCTGACCAGGAGATAATAAGCTCACCTCTCTGAAATACAAGAGGTGAGCTTATTATCATTTTCCTGAAAAAGTAAATCACGCCCCGCTAATTATGAATGATTGCTTGAGAATGAAATGCGTGACTGAAGCATTGTATATTATAAAGTTAGCTCTGTGGAGGATAACTCACTGTAAATGACACATGTATGGTAGTGCTGAAGCAATATCTAGGTGGGACTGAAGCTGCAGAGCAATTCAACAGATAAATCATCATTTAGCAACACAAAATAAACGTCGCAACAGCGCCAACAAAAGAGCGACATCAGCCGGAGAAAACGGTCTGCTTTAATGACTACATTCTGAACAAATATGAAAGCAGTTTGTTGAGCTTGTTTGGTATTACTTACATAATGTCACATCCCATACAGCCGGTAACCATCACTTTCCCCCTCTGCCTATTCAGCGGCTCTCTAAACAAGTTCATACTCCTTGACTAACACGCTCTATGTAACATACACACGTCAAACTCTTGGCCAACAAATAATGCCCTTATTGTCACTATTGTACGCACGGCCCCCCCATTCCCCATCCCTCCACAGACCCAAACACTGCCTCGCTGTACGCTGTAAGAGTGCAACTATTCACCCTGGCTTCGCCTCTTCTCCCCAGGACGCGCTGTAACCACCATGCTGTTAATAAACTCCACGTCCCTTCAGCCCTCAGGCCCGTGTGAGTAACTGATCTCTACCTCGCAGAGTCTCCTCCTTTTCTCTCTGTTACACCGTCTCAAGTTCCCCGATCCCTTGTTGTAGACTCAAGAAAGAAAGGCAGGCTTCACTAAGATGCTAACAACTAAGCAAATAAGGAAGAACTTGTAAAAAGGTATAGCGTGTCTGAAACAATAAGGCCCTGTCAGCAATTACTGATGATTAGTGGTGGTGAGCACATTGAATCCTGACAGTTTGGTAACCAGGTTTGAAAGCAAAGGACTCGACGGATCATACGTGTGGTTGGATACACAATATATACATTTAATACATCTAAGCTTCTCCATGATGTTTCATGTAAACATCACAAAACGGGCAGAACCTGCTTTCAGACGTGTGACTGTACGTTCAGAGAGATTGTTAAACACAAATTGTGTCATTTCCCCATATTTCATTAACCCCGCTCATCCAGCAAACCTACCAAATATTTGCAGGTTACAGATTTATTTATGTGACATGTTGTTTCCCCCCCTCCCCTCTTTCATACTCAACTCATCTATTTTGACCAAAGAAAAATCTTTACTCTCACTTACTAGTTTTTGTTTTCTGGAGCTTTCGACCACATCTCGTGGTCTTCCACTGTGGGTGGAGTTTGCTCAGTTGTCATGACAATGCTAGGAGCTGGACCTCGACATTAGATTATTTTACTCAGACTTCACGGTTATGACGACACGTGACGCTCTACTTTGTGTGTGTGTGTGTGTGTGTGTGGTGTGTGTTGTATTCTACACGTGTCTCTCCGTTGACCAATACCGTTACAACGGGTTTAAAGATACAAACAGGGTCACGTCATGGCTAAATAAACATTGTAGTTAATTTAACCTAACGGCTCATTGCACGCGACCTGTTCAGAGCTACACGAGTCAGTAAAGCTTGTAAACTTTGACCGGCTTCCACAAAAGTGAACAAAATGTCAAACTCTCGAAGCTATCATCTATTCCAGTCATATGAAAGTATAAAGGATCCAACGTCGACGTGCTTCAGAATAAAAGACACGTCGTTGAGTACATAGTTAGACCAACACGTGCTTATGCAAGAGTTGGAGACACAACGGTTCCATTTAAAAGCGCTAGCCGTGAAGCTAACGTCGGCTAGCAGCGAGAGCTCGCTAGCGTGCACCTCCGGGGTATCGTTAGTGTTACCGACGAGCTGAGGCACCGGACTGAAGCGGCCGGACGGAGTTAAGATGGGCCAGGTCGTCATTTAGTGACTTTTAAAACCTTACCTGGTGCACAGGGTCTTCGAGTCCGACCAGTTGGCCATGTTTGTTGGACTGTTCGGCGATTAGCTCCTCCTGCCTGGAGACTGAACACTGAACTGATGTCGTGAATGTTCAACTCACCACACTGTCAAACCCCTTGATGATCTATGTATCATATATACCCTTATTTATATAAATGACCTAAAGTTGAACGGACACCTTTCTAAATGTCAACTAGCACTGAACATCATAACCTTCAGGGAGGTATTACTGCAGGCTGTTGTGTTCAAATTGCATTAGTTTTAGCAACATAGGCAGCTAATAAACTGGCAACTAAAAGGCAACTTAGTCCAGCCCTCCTCTGATAATGCTGTGTCGGCCTGGGTTCTGCGTCATCTTGACTGGATACAGCTTTATTTGGTAATAAGCAGCCCTGTGAGTTCAGTTTATACTATAATAAAGGTCTTAAAACTAGATTTTGAGACAGGGCCACAAGATCAACAATGCAGGACCAGCCTCAGCATAATAGTGTACTTAAGTTGTTCCCCAATTCCCTAATAAACTTTCATTCATCAAATTACCATAAATATGGCTACGACAGGTGTGGAACTAATGCTAAAATAAGACAGAGTACATATTTTATATTTTTGAGAGCATTATAACGTGCAACTAGTTGCTTCAAAGACAAGACAGTCAAATTGCAGCAAATATCATCTACTTACACGCATACACAAACAACTGCCTCCACAGGAATTCTTAAATATAAATATTTATTGTGATGATTCTCTTTATAATCTACAGTAATCATTAATACAACACTTTGTGTTAACAATAATGTAACCAATTATTTAAGATGCTAGAATGAGCGCAGTAACAAGTGCATCGGTAAATTTAGTCACGTCTGTTTGTTTAAAATATGTGTACTTAAATATCAGTAATCTACTATTAGGTGCAAATGTACAGTGTCCACTAAAGTGTCCTGGGCGAGATGTCAGCATTGTGTAGGTTACAATTAAAACCTACATTAACTCGGTATGATGTCAGTAGTCTTGACGTGAGCTCCTATTCATGTCCTACCGATGAACTTTAAGTTGCATTTCAGAAAATCACAAAACAAACAGACTCACCCTTTTACAAAACACTGGGAATATGTCTAAACTACGTATCAACTCTACAGCCCCTAGTGTGCCGGTGGAACAGTCCTTCCTGATGATAACATTGTGCACAATGGTCGTTAAATAATCTGTTTACAGCAGTATCATTTGCTACAATCACCCTCCTTGAAGTGACTCTGCTTTAGGCACGCAATGTTTTTATGACAGTATCTACAATGAACAACTGTGTATAACAAATGACACAGTGATCAAGATGTTCAAAACAATCCATGCCACCTGATTACTGATGAATCAAGATGATAGACATTGTACATTCACCTTGTACAAACCTGAAATAATGCATGTATTATCAGTGTCGGTGCACGATGACTCTGTTAAGAGGTGAATGCTGATACAGAGGTACGTTGATATTAGGTGATGGAATAAAGACCGCCGCCTTAGCTCTTCCCCATCGTCTTCAAGAGAAGCTACAGAGGAAAAAAGGAATTTAAAAAACTGGTTTAAGTGCCTCCCACAAACATAAAACAGCCTTAAAGATTATAAAAAACATACTACAGTCAATAAATGTATGCTGAATATTGTGGATAGCTAGTAAAGATGGGTTGGGTGATGAAAGGGAGGCTGACGGTAGCAGGTTTAAGACTACTATGCTGCACAGTTACAGGGCTTACATTAATATTGTATCACTATTGGTCAGACAAAAAGACTGGAAAATGATATCAACCTCAATCAATGCTTGTTTAGTTTAGTGAACGTGTGTACCTTTGTTAGGTGATACTCCCCATCTACCAGCTGCTCAATGATATTGAAGTGGTCGGTGTCCGCCACATCCTCCTTGGTCACATTGAGTCCTGACGCCTCTAAAGTCTTTAAAGCCAGAAAATAAATACACTTTATTATTAAAAGGTAGCTATAATAAACAAGTCCCATCATACTCTAATCAAGCCCGGCGATGTCCAGGATAAGCGGTTTAAGATCATGGACGGATGGATACTCTAATCAAAACAGTGTTCACGCTCAGCAGCACTGACTTTGTAGTATTCTTCCGACTGCTTGCGAAACTCGGGCGAGTCGTTCTCAGCGACGGCCACGATGATGTGGCAGCTGGAGGAGGAGAGTTTGAGCTGAGGGACCAGTTTGCTGGGGCTGTTCCTCACCGCCACCTCCCTGCAAACAGGAGACACCCGGAGGAGAGAGGAGTCAAATACGGAGTGGTACGACACACACAACGAGCTTTACATGCACAGTTCTCCTCCACAGAGACAATCGCAACACCCTCACACAGTGCTCTCTACGTCACAGTGCGGTAAGGAACGTACTCTGTCATCTTCAAAGGCTCGTTGACGTAGGTGGACAGGATGGGCAGGAGGTCATATATGCCACTAACAAGGAAAGCACCTGTTAGACAGTCGGAGGAACAACAACAAAGACAAAACTATATCAGCTGTACAGTATTTGTGTCTCAATCTTTGCATTTCTGTTTGTCAGTCGCCTCCATCACTCGTCCCGTTTCACCTGATGGACCTTACCTTTGATCTGAGGAGTGACGCTGTATTGCGACCAGTCAGTGGAGAGGACCATTGCAGCCAGGTGAGCCCCAGCAGAGTGGCCACACAGGTACAGACCACTGAGGGAGGGATCAGAGTTTAGAAAAGACAAACTGAGATGACCGTGATCATGGCATTTTATCTCTTTCTGGGTGAGAGGGAACATTTCAAAATGCATTTTAATGTAATACTTGAATTAATAACGGGTCAGAAAACAAGCATGGGTACCTGATGTGAGAATACTGCTGGACAACAGACACGACACTCCTGCGTACTTGAGATACCATCAGGTCCATGCTGCCTGAAAGGGGCACAGGCAGAGCGCTGACATTCCCAGCTCATCTTCATAAAACAATCTTTTTTCCCAGGAAGAGAAAAAATCTTATCTGAAATGAAGAGACTCTACCTGTGGGGGCGATGTCATAATCGACGGCAACCACCACTACACCTTTGTCAACGAGAGGAACAGCCATGAATCCTGACTCCTCCTTGCTGTATGAGCACAAAGCATCAACAACGGGACAAACCTGAGGAAGACATTTAAATCTGCAATGCAGACGAGAACACAACACCGTACCTGAGGAACTGCCAGTTCCCTCCATGTAGGTAAATAACAAGGGGAACATCTGAAACAGAGGGAATCAGGCCTGTTAATCCGCACGCATTATCTAAGCTTCTGCTATTTGAAGCATGTCGATTGGGGGGGGGGGGTGTTCTTAACAGTCACACATGTCAGTACCCAAAGAGTTGGTGCGGGGTATGTAGACATCCAGTTTCTCTCCATCTCCCTCTCCGTATGGCACGTTGAGCAACGTTTGAGCCAGACCACGGGCACGATCCGTCCCTGGACACACACGAGGGGTATACAACGTGACCACACATACAGGGAGACCATGTGTACCACTGACATCTCTGGGTGTATTAGGTCATTGTGGAAAATGCTGCTCAGTATTGGGAGCTATATTGGATTTTAGCATCAATGTGATGAATTCCTGATTTTGTGTCTAATTCACTGGTTTAGATGGAAGCAGACATTCCCATTAGTTGTCCCAGTTTCTCACGGGAGGCCCGTGGGTTGAGGCACTGATCGTGAACGGTAACAACCCAGATTGACCTTTGTTGCATGGCTCATCTCTCTCACCGCTCACTTCCTGTCATTTCCCTGCTGTTGGCTCTCTAATAAAAAGGTATCAAATGGAAATTGTATATACCATTCATTCATAATCAAGTTTCCCATTGTGGAGAAGCATATTTATACAAGATTTAGTCCAAATTCTGTAGATCAGTGAGGGGCAACTGAATTTAGAGACCCTCATTTCCAATTTTCCCTTCTTTTGTTTAGCTCTGGCCACAAAACCTGGCACAGTATGCTCACCAAATTCAATTCAATGTCCCAATTAGGTAATTCTGTGTGGAACATGTGGCCTAGATGGCTTTTTGTTGTTGTTTTATTTCTTACACTCTGAAGTTCTTTTAGAAATCTTAACAAAACTCATCCAGAATACTGGTCACTATTAGACATTTTAGACTTATTGAAATATATTAAAGCAGCTTGCGTTTTCGAAGTCAAAATATCTTTAGAAAAACATGTCGACTATCCATCTCGGGCTACACAATGCGACTCGACCGGATTTCTGTTCATTGTTGCGAATTAGCATCTTAGCTTTAAAACAGACAGACCTTCCTTTAAAGCCTTCTCGTGAGCCTTGATCACGTCGTCTGCCGACATCCTGTGCGACCACCGGCTGGGTGAATACTGCCTGTCAAGCTCCTGTCACACGGAGAGACTGCTGGTCAGCTGGGCGGCCATGAGAGCCGAGACACCGACCACCATGAGCCGCTGATGAACAGTGTAAACATGGGGAACAGCGCCCCCCTGCTGTTATTTACCCCCTTTACTGAGGCCGTCAAGCTTTTAATGCAACTTCATTCATCGGTTGTAAAAACAGGAAATATAGAATATTATTATTATTATTTCAAAAAGTCAAAGTATATGCTTAACTCACAGTAAGATACAAATTACAACAATCCTGTCAACGTTACAGCCAACAATCTCAGAATGCTAGCAGAGAAGAAAAGAAAAAGCACTTAAAGTCAAAACTCTTACATCTTTCTTCATTTTAGTCCAGTGCATCATTTGTGTCTGTGGTAGTGACTTAATTCGCTGAAAGTCTGCTGACGGAAGAATCCGATCCACATGTGCGCAGCTGAGAGACTTCCGGACTTTGGGCTCATAACCTAAAGTACACACGTCTGTCTCTGACTGACCAGCTGCTCTCTGCAGAGTACAAGACACCGCGTGCTGAAATAATTACAGGCTGTGTTTGTCGATGATATTGAATTATATAAGTATAATATTGTGTGTGTCAGCTGTGTGCCAGTGCGTTTCTGCTTTATTTAACTGTAAAACTTTACATTATTCTTGGCATATTGTTCAGAGTTGCCTCAGTAATTAGCCAAATAAAAAGAAAACCTGAATGTGTGAATTTAAAAGTTTTGTTTGGTAACATTTTACAATCCCACATTTGAACCTTTTCGTCCTTTTAGTGCTCCCTCCCTCTCAAAACAATAGAAAAACAAATGCCAACGTGGCTCGTCCCACCGATGTGACGCTCTGTGCTCTGATTGGTCAGACGTTGCGCCTGCGCTCTCTACCGTCACATCTCTGAGGGCGCTGGTTATTTAAAACAGTCACGTGACTCTACGTTCATTGGTTGAATGTGATATAAAAAAAGCGCACAACCGCCCGCGCGCATTTTCAGCGTTTGGATTCAGGACAACTTCTCCTGTGGGATTGAATTAGTGATATATTTCATATTTATTGAACTGTTTTTTAATTATTATTTATAGCGTCTTTGAGTCAGAATGGACTGTGTGGATTTTCCAAGAGTTCTGCCAAATTCCCCGAGAAAAGCACGCGGACAAATTCAGGTTCGTGTCTGATTGATCTGAAGGTTTATGTCTCTATCATATCGTACTATCAACAAACTAAGATGAGCAGGACACGATAGTGGATAACGTTAGGTGTCTTTTTTTTTTTTTAAAAGAATACCATGTCATTGACTCGTTAAACGTTTATCTCTCATTCGTCACTAACAGCCTCTCTGTCTGTCGGCAGGTCATCTTTGGACCGATGTTTTCAGGCAAAAGGTGAGTTTTTCATTCACAAACAGCAGGTCTCTCTGCAGGTGAAGCTAGCTGTTGTTATTCATATCTACTGTTAATAATTACATTACGCAGGAAAAACAATATTCCGCCCAGACTTCAACATCCCGCCAAATCTCGTCCATTGTTTACCCATCTCCCACAGAATGCATGTCATATGTACAGTTACTATACAGTAACGTTATGTTTTGTAAGTTAACTCATTGTATGACCATATTTTACTGATGTTGCACATTATACTAAACAATATCGCAGTATTTATTACCTCATGCTTATGGTATTGTAGGAAGTTGGTGTTCAAGAGGCTCTGTCATTCATCTGACTATTGTCTTTTAATGGATAACATAAATGTTTGTTTTTTACTGATATTAACTCAATTTATATATTTCCTCGTAACCTGCAGCACTGAACTGATGAGAAGACTGCGCCGGTTCCAGATAGCCCAGTACCAGTGCTTGGTGATCAAATATGCCAAAGACATGCGTTATTGTGACACAGGCATGGCCACACATGACAAGTAAGTCCCCTGTTTGCATTTACTGTGTTATATGTGTAGTTTGCATGTTATCCCCACGTCAACGTGGGTTCTACGGCTTCTGCCCACAGTTCAAAGACAGCTTAGGTTAATTGATGACTCTAATTTGCCCGTAGGTGTGAATGTGAGCGTGAATGGTTGTCTATCTCTGTGTGTTTGCCCTGCAATGCTGCAATGGTCTGGTGACTTGTCCAGGGTGAACCCTGCCTTCGCCCAATGTCAGCTGGGGTCAGCTGCAGGCCCCCCCCCCCCTCTGTGACCCTGAAGATGAGCTGTTGAAGATAATGGATGGATGCACATATCACACTAGAAAGTGAAATGGAGATGACAAACGAAAAATGTGACATCTTCAAGTTTTCCCCCTCCATCTTTTAGACACACAATGGAAGCTGTACCCGCAAGCTGTCTGAAAGAAATGCGGCTTCTGGCAGCACAAGTCTGCGTCATTGGAATCGACGAAGGGCAGTTTGTAAGTCTACATATTCTGTTTATTTTCCTCTTCTTCACCCTAAAACCGTTACTGTTCACTTCCGTAGAGACCAGAATGTGTTACTCGGGACAAATCCCGCTCTCACTGTTGTTGTAGTTTCCAGACATCGTGGAGTTTTGTGAGGAGATGGCCAATTTAGGGAAGACGATCATTGTAGCTGCTTTGGATGGAACCTTCCAGAGAAAAGTGAGTGTTTGTGTTTTGTCTCCACGTGTCACTGTGATACTGACAAACACTCACGGTCCGTACTAACAGACGGACAGTGTGTGGATGCTGCTGAGGCAGATAGAGCACCTCTGTGGCTGTGGACGCAACAAGACTCATTAAGGAAGCACGATAACCGAGAGTTCAACGTGCTCATTATTCCTCACTATAGTGCGTCTCTTCTGTCCTCGTAACGTGATTATACCTCCATCCATTCAGTGGTACTTAGTGCTTTTCTGCTGTCCTGTGCGTTCCTGTAGCCGTTTGGAAACATCCTGAACCTCGTCCCTCTAGCGGAGAGCGTCGTGAAGCTCCACGCCGTCTGCATGCAGTGTTACAAAGAAGCCGCCTACACCAAGAGGATAGGAGCGGAGAAGGAGGTGAGGAGGCAATCCCAAGAACAGTCTTCAATGAGTTAGCCATAAACATAAACAAATGACTTCCAATCTCTCTTTACGCCTTAATTATGTTATAACAAGATAGTTTTAGCAAATATGTTCTGAGATAATTCAGAATATTATTGTTATGTTGTGTCTGTCAGCCATCTTTATTTATAGAGTGGGTAGTGAACCTTTCTTTTCTTTGATCAAACTGTTGTGAACCTGTCGACTGTTGTTTCTCTGTGCCTCAGGTGGAAGTGATTGGTGGAGCTGACAAGTATCAGGCGGTGTGTAGAAAGTGTTACGGAGGTCTGATGGCGGAGAAAGAGAACAGCGCTCCATTCAGGAACGAAACTCCACAACACATCCTCTTGGGAAAACTCGTGGAGTCAGCGATTCCTAGGAAGCTTTTCTCTTCTCTCCATCTCTGAACACAAAAATAAGACTTGTTGCCTGAAGTGGTGGAGAGTATAAATCTCATGGTGGTTTTTTTGGTTGGTATTTGTGCACGAGCATTGGTTGGAAAATGGATTTTTATTTGAGATTAACTTTTGCTTCATGACATTTTAAAGTTTCTGCTAACAAGTTGGATTTGATCAGCCCAATTAACTTCCTTAGTGTTTGTATGTGTTCTTTATTTGGTGTCTAATACACATAGGTGTAATGTATTAAAAATGTTTTTACTTGACGGGGCACTTAATAACCCTGGAGAACTCTAGCAGTACCCTGTCAAATGTAAGGTTTTTAATTATGTTTGTATAATTGTATATTCTGGTTACATTTGTAAAGAAAACCTTTTGTGGAAGGTTGAGTCATGTTTGTCAGGTCAGCAGGAGTTTGAATTAAAGTGTACATTATATCATAACAGTTGGGAGATTATCCTTTTCCCCCATTTTAAAGCGTACAGTATGTTTTTAACTCTCGCACACTTAACTGTGATACGTAACTGAATGCCCTCGCATGCGACAGAGGACCAAAATAACCTGTTTAAATCCTGGCAGGCTCTGAGGCTGGAATGGAGAAAGTATATCATCCCTACAATATAAAACCTGTAATACTGCAGTGCACATATGCAACAATAACCTTAAAATAGAACATCCTGTGAATGATTTCATTCTGACATTAAAAAAACAAATCACGCTAACCAAAGTGACTAGTATTTATAAAACAAATCATCCAGCCTTACATGTAAAACATGCATCTTGATCAAATCTAACTTAAAATTTACAAAATACCAAATTATGTAACTGCAAAAATGTCACATGCGTCACAAAATAATGACCATAACGCTATATTTGAACTGAATCTAAAGGCACAGTTTAGAGACTTCCTGTCAGTCGGGTGATTTAGGAGGTTGTCCAATAACGAGCTGCAGATTTAACTGCTGCCCCAGAGCCTGAAAATCAGCCTTTGCGATATAAAAAGAAAACACGAGGGCAGCTGTGATGCACAGCTTAACTTTAATATTTAATCATGGCACATTTGATTCACTTTCCTTCCCCAAAAACCCTTTGATGTTAAATTTCTCCTCACGGTACAAATGATAAATCAACAGAAGATTTTCATATAGATGGCTTCAGCAAGTTCATGTGTTTTCTATTAATAATCAATGTATTTCCACTTGTACAAATATCTTCAATGTAGTACCACAATAGCATGTTTCTATATATATTTATAACCACATTCAATTGCTGGTCTGTCATTTGCAGATCTAGAGTCCGTTTAAATCAAAATCTACGTTTGAGCATCACTTTAGACGAGCTACAGCAGCCGGACCGTCGGGCACAAAGCAACACATGAAACCAGTTGCAGGCTGAGGTGTTAATCTTGTCGTTGGTAAAGACACACCTGCTGCAGTCTGCCTTCAACAGTTTAGATTAAGAAGCCTGTAAACGGGAGATAAAAATCGGTGTTCGGGAAACTAACCGTCTCAAAGACATAGGAGGAAGTGTGAGGCCGCTCTGTTCGCAGGTTTAAGAGGGAGCATTGTTTCTGCTAGTTAATAAGTTACTCTCCAGTAAGAGGACATGCTCGGTGGATAAACCTGTTAAGTGCAGCTATCTACGTTCTCCTCCCTCCTGTCTATCTGAACCACAAGTTTAAAGGGCAACACCGACTATGAACGTCCAATAAACGCCTCTACAGATTGGCACACGTAACCCACTGTTAACACAAATTTGTTATATCTGCAATGATCAGAGTTTAAGAACTGGAGGGGGTTTTATGTGTTCTCATGTGACCATCGACAGCACATTAGAGTGCAAAACTTTCTCTCAGGGGTGATTTTGTGGCTTTATGGCTACGAAACATGCACAATCTGTACAGAACTAAATCAGAGGGGGACATTTGGCTTTATAGTGGTCTTTTCCCACTGTAATCGAGTACATCCTGAAACATCCAATAAACCAAACAAGCAAAGAAAAACAGGCACATAGAACCATGAAAATGGCAGCTTCGTAAGGTGAAGTCTATGTACAAATGCAGATTCTCAGGTTCCACCAGAGAGTAAAGAGGAACACGTTCTTCACACCGTCACATTATATATCACCTTTGACCTCCTGGGTACATTCCATCTACCTCTCCCCATCAGGATCAGCCCACTGGAGGTAAAGAGTTGCGTCTTTGCACACAGGTCTAAGGTCAGATACTCAACAGTCAGCCTGACGTCTTGATATCCGACCGCCGACCCGTTGACGTAAACGGCGGTGTCCCTCGTCTCTAACTTGCAGTTGCACTGCGCAGGCTCTCAAATTGGACAACACTTGGAAAAGTGTGTTGAATCAAATGTAAAACCACATCAATATGATATAGCTGTGGGTCTGTGCAGTGCAACAACAATCAGTGTACCAACAGATGATCTGGTCCACGCGACCTCCCTTTGTCTCAGTAGTTGGGCGGCTGGTAGTCAGCGTCTCCTTGCGGCTGGGGGATTGGCTGGAAGGGGGGCTGCATGTCGGGCACTTTGCTGGGATAAGGGTTGTAGGTGGTAGGGGTGTAGGTAGTGGGGTTGTAGGAGGTGGGGGCGTAGGTCGGAGGGTAAGGGGTGTGGTGATCTGGTTGTGGCTCTGTGTAGGTCGGCATGGTTACTTCATTCACACCGCGGCGGAAACGGATCAACGCAAAGTAGGTCAGGAGTCCCTGTTTAATGAAATAAAAATGTCACGGTTATTACAGTCACTTTGAAGAGTTCCAGTTTTATTTCACAATATTCCTGAGGATGTTTTAGATCTTTACTTTTTTTTAGCGATTGATGTATTTTTCTCAACTTCTAACTGAACTGGTTTCACTTCGTATCGGTGTCAAAACTTGCCGCAACGTGCAGAGACCTGAGGCTTCTTAGTGGAGACAATCCACCACGATGACATTCAGTCGGTCCATGCATCACATTATTGCAACATGTGTGATGTGTGCTAATGAGGTTTAATGCAGAGTTTGAAGTCTTCTGATGGTGGGAAACTCCAACACACGGTTTGAAAGCCAGCTAAAGAACACCCTGACGATTACATGTCCGGAAGACAAACACTTGCTATTTGCTCTCAGCTATTATTGTAACTTAAGGGTAACAGAAGTGTTACACGAGATGGAATATCTGTGTGAGAGCAACTTGATTATAGTTTCTAGAAATATAAGGTTTGCTGTTCAGCAGCTGACTCTGAAGCATCAAATGTCAGAGGTTCCCACCAGTATTTGAACGCACGATCCTGGAGGACTTCTACAAACAATATGCAACTTCATTAATTATTGTATAGAACACATGATGTCTCTGAAGCTGATTTAAAGTCTCTTTGTACCTTTACCAACATGAACTGAAGTCAGTGGTGGCTTTAAAGGACTAATTTTACAATTTGGGAAATATGCTTATTAGCTTTCTTGCAGAGAATCAGGTGAGGATGAAATTCTGAGCTGTTTTTTTTAATTAAAAAGAAGACAACAGCAGTCCTGCTCACCCATGTGGCGATAGAGAAGAACGAGAAGGCCACAGTGGCTCGTGCCGGGTCCACTGGGACACCGCTGGCATGAGTTTTAGCCCACTCACTGGCCAACAGGCAGAAACAAACAAACCAAAGGAAGCACCACACCCCTATAAAACACAGAGAGAGACAGATGCACAAACACACACAGTTATGAATTATTAAAAGATATCAAAACTGTGAAAACACAGATTTGAAAATGTAACTCCTGTGAAAAACATACTAAAAACAATGTCAAATGAAAACAAAGGGCTCTGCTGTTGCTGTCTGCTCGAATGACCACAAGCTGTTTTTCTAACGACCACTTCTTTGTTTCCTTGAAGAATGGCTGACTGTGAACTGTGGCATGTACAGCTGATGTTGCTACCGTGTGCAACGATGAATAATACATGTCGTTGTATGTCAGGAGAAGAGGCAGCGGTCTGTCGCACATTACGCCAATTCTCAGAGGCATTCTGTACAGATACAACATTGATATATTATCACCTAATTAAGCTGATATGTGGTGAACATGTTAGCAAACATTAGCTTATTTTAACATGAGATACAGAGCAACGTTAGCATTCATTTGGAGTCGGTTGTGGGAAATATTTTCTCTCTTTTAGCTCTGGTTTTGTTCCCCACCAACCCCAGAGGGAAATATCTGAATCTTTAGCTGTTAAATGCTTCACTATGTTCACCAGCTAACTGCGTCACTGTGATGTTTGGTGCTTAACAAGTAGTGGACAATGGGTAAACAGCAGTAAACAGCTGCCCAGGTTGTGGCTGGAAACGAGGTTGATGAGAGCCGTACCAAATCAGTAAAGTTGTGGGCCGTAACACCAAAACAATGAGCTAAAAGAAGATAAACACTACACACTACACACTCTTTTACATTACACAAAGTCATTTGATCCACTGTTAATATAAAAATATGAATTAGTGCAGCTTTAAAGCTCTTTCAAAACAAAGATAACGCTCCTGCTCACCTGAGAATCCCAGGTCTGCCATGACGGCGTACTTCCTCTCCTGTGCGTTGCTCATAAAAGGCACGTAAGCGTCCAACACCAGGAAGGCAATACATGCCAGGAAGGCGATCACCCCGATGCCAATAGCGTAATGACACGCCGAGTCGTTCTGGTTGAAGATGCACTTCACCTGGGCACTGTGGGTAGAGTTGATGTATCCCTCCGTTGTGATGGAAGCAAACACCACCAGGGCAAATATCTACATTGAATCAGAGAAAAGAAGAAGGTGGCCTTCAATGACTTGCAAAGCCGTAAGAAGAACGTGTTTTGTTGAAGGAACATAGCGCTGGTTTTTCCAGTTTATCCATCAACTTCACATTGCATACTTTACAGCCGTGCTGCTCACTGTTGTTTTGAGGCTGATTTGCTGCCTTTGGTTTCACTTCACGAAAGCACAATATGAACGCATCGACAAAAGAGAGTTTTGTCACGTGACAACATTTGCAAACATCCTCAGTTGGGAGTACTGAAAGCAAACTTCACAGAAGATATATGTAGAGAAGAGGTCTGCTGCTGTCACCTCTGATTACCCCCCTAACCATGTGACCTACTTCTGAGTGCAGCTGCCTGTCATGTGACTCCAGAGACACCACAAACTCCACCAACAACACTCGTAATGAGCCTGGGAGGAGGATAGAGAGGGACTGTTTAACTGGTGGGAAGCAGGACGAGGTGAGAGGGGGTAAACAGGCCACAATCCTGCTGATGGGACGAAAAGTACCAAAAATTAGCAGAAGGCATTAGGGAAGTGAATGTGGGGAGTTCCAAAACACAAGACAACAGTGAGACAGAGGGATCATTAGTGGAGCAGACGGATGTTTCTGTGCATTGTGACGACAACACAATTGGACAGATGGAAAGTGTTTGTGAGTGAGATGTCACAAACATGTAAAAAACGTCCCGTATGTTCATACAGCATGTTCTTTTGGGGCTTGTTTGTTTTGCTCTGTCAGACGCCATTAAGCGGCACAAATAACACAGACACCCTCCTTCTGATGACTTGTGTTTACACCATGAATAAAACGCCACCAGAAGGGAAACATCTACCTTAAATGTACTGTTTCACATGTAACAGCAGGGTCAGACCGGGTATAGTGATGTGATTCAACACCTTAAATGAGCAAGAGCCACTGTACGCAGACACACGCGGACATGTTCCAGGAGCAGGCGTGGTGCATTGTGGGACCTGTAGGCTGTGTTACAGACCGAACAATCCTCTCTTGTGTCATAGGTGCAGGCTTGTTGAAGTAAGATTAGAATCACCAGAGATACATGGCGATCTAGCCAGTGTGAATTTGAGATGAGTTGACCACAGCTGAACTTACGTACGTGTGTGTGTGTGTGTGTGCGTGTTTGTGTGTTGAGGAGGAGATCAGTGGCAAACATTCACCACGAGTCAAAGCGAGCGCCAACGGGGGAGAGGTATCACCTTACCTGCCCATCAGCCCCTGTTTACCAGTTCACACTTACTCTCACATACATTTTCCCAAACATATAAACACTCAGCAGTTGTGGCAGCCAAGGGCACATTCTGTCCTCCGTCCTCATCTACCGCGCTGGATAACATGCCACAGTATCCGTGTGACGTTGTGTGTCTTCTCACCCACCTACGATCACCCTGCATGTGCATTAGCTGGAGGCCTGACGAATAGCTTACGCTCCATGAACCAAGTAAATGGAAATCAACCGTGGTCTCTGTAATCTTGGACACGAGTCTGTGGGGAGAAGACGGCAGTCACGTCCAATAAAACTCTCTCTGAATGAGGATCCAAATTGTGTGTTTCACCAGGGAAGTGTTCGAGGACTTCAGTTCAAATCCAGTCCTTTAAATCTGCGTGCTCACAAACACGCCGTGTTGGACAACAATACATTTTAATCGCACAACCTGTCTGGTCACAAGTCATTTCGGACTTTCCAGATCAGTGTCTTAACCACAAAAACAAATCTTTGCCACAAGATTTGCCTAGCAACAGGTGATCAGCAGAAACAACTTCCCATAACTTTCCTTGGTACATGAAACCTCCTTTTTATGCAAATAAACGTTGTGCATACAACCCCTTTATGATGACAACTACTAATATCACTGTCATGTAACCATTTATATACATAGAATTGTGTAGCAGAGAGTCTTGTGGTCCGTCTATAAGTTAAATGTAATCTTCCTCTCTGGTGAGCACAGCTCCAGTGTAGCAGACTGCAGAGATCTCCAAAAGATGAACATGATCAAACATCTATTCTATCTCAGTGTCTGACAGTTTTCTGTCTTTTGTCCTCTGACAACAGCAGTGTTGACCTGCGCTGTCGCCGAGCTGCTGTCACACACCAGCTGCGTGCAACACGACGCCCCGTAGAGACGCTGCACATAGGAGCCTGTTGTTCTGCCAACTCAAATAGAAATGGAGCGTTTCGCTCCACAGAACCAGTTTACGCGCTCCGGGCCATGTTGGATATGACTTCTGTGTCTTCTTAACCTTTGAACACGCGCTGGTAAATCTCCCACACGGCCCACTCACCCAACTGAGTATCCGCACGATGGTTGGCGGCTGTCGGATAAACTTGTAGAAGTCGAAGCCTCCTCCTGCGAGCGAAGCCCCGTACGCACTTGCACCGGCCGTCTCCTCCATGTCTCTCTCCCGTCCAACAGGTTCTCCGAAGCTCACCGAGGGGTTTTCTTTTCTCTCCACAAGACCTGACAGGACAGCCCGCTAAACTAAACTACGCTGCTGTCACCTCCTGTCGTGCTGCTTCTCCACAACGAAGACCAGTGGCACCCAGAGGAGCTGCGCGCGTCAGAGGGGCGGAGTTGGGCGGTTAGGAGCCCGGAAACGCGTTCATGCGTGACTCTTGTCATTCTTTTTTTACCCACCACAAATACTTTAAAGATAGACAGTCGAATGCATCACACTGAAAAGACGTGACAGCACAGAAGATCACGAGCAGATGTTTATTCAACCACATCAGCCTGTTTATGAACAGTGTGAGCCCTCAGGGTCCCTCAACTGGTTCATCCTCCAACTCTTCTTCTCTTCCTTAATTTGGGGCCATTCGTCCACGGAGGCCTCAGATGCCTGAGGAGAGAACAGAGTTTGGCTGCTTGCTTGTTTGAATAACAGGCTCACTGGTTGATTTATTTCATGATGAATTCATTTCGTTTCTAACCTGATCAAATTCACCACCTCTGGCCATTGTCTCTAAATCAGCATCTTCATTGTACTCTGACAAATCCTGTGAGGAGAGAGAGAGAGAGAGAGAGAGATCTCTGTGTCATGGTTCAGTAGTCATCCTAATGGAGATTAAACAGTGTGCGATAGTGAAAGTGGCTCATGTGAGAGTGGATGAATGGGGGAAGTGAACAGCCTTTGAAAGACGGAGAGGCACAGAAACATTGACTAACCAGCTCGTCCTCACATGCAGCTCCCATTCCCCTCATCTCCAAGCTCAACCTGAGAGGAGAAAGGTGCAGTTGAAAACATTGGTACAGTGCCATAGCATAAAATGAATGTAATATGGGCGCAGTGTTGTTTCTGGGAATGGGAATGGAAGTGTACATTCCACAGTTGACAGTTCACCCACCCAAAAAACATGATTTGTTTAGGACTGATTCAGAGATTTCTTTTGACTTATCCTATTTAAATAGTATTTTATGTGGGCATTGTTTTTTTTAAGGTGTCAGAGAAACAGAGAAATAACTCACAGAGAACTTCCTCCATACTGCCTTCGCCCTGCAACGAGAGTAAAAAGATGAATTCTCAGTAGCAATGAGGAGGTATAGCTACACCGAATGAAAACAGGACTCCGAAACTCACTGAACATTGCTCCAAGCAAACAGCAAATAGAGACCAGGACAACCAGGAATGTAAAACATCCAAAGACAACTGCCACCACCGAGACGCGGAGACGATTCAGCACTGGAGGAGCAGGAAGAAGAAGAGGAGATGAAACCAGCTCTCACCTGTCTCAAGAATGTTCTACCTGACTCAATCAGTGGATCAGCTACCTTCTTTATTCAAATACATCCAATTGCTGCTTTTGGAGCTGGTGTTGTCGAAGCTGTCTGACACTTCACAGTGGTACGTTCCAGCGCTGCTCCTCCCTACAGACAGCAGGAGTATGGACTGCTCTGGAGGCTGGTTGACCACTTTGTAGAAGCTTCCTCTGTCATGTAGGAGGGTTTTGTTGAGGAACCACCGGTACTGAGGAAGAGATCCCTTCGCTGCCTTGCAGTAGAACCTCAGGCCGATCACGGCGTAGTTTTCTCCGAAGTCATAGTCGTAATGCATCATCACAGGCCCACCAACTGGGACTGTTGGAGACGGTATGGATCGGAAAGAGACATCATGGACAAACATTAAAAGAAAGCAGTGTTATGTCAGCAGTTTCAAACAATTCACATACCAACTTCCAGGGGAATCCATTGACTGAATTCAGTCCGGTCTCCGTTGTTTGCCTGGCACTGGAGCCATCCCAAGTGCTGGCCCAAGACCAGTGGAACCTTAAATGTCGCGTTTCTCTCGTCAATCGTTATATTGGCAACTAATTCTGTCCTGTTGTACAGTGAAAAGGTGACAGGCGGAGTCCCTTTAGTTGACTGACAGGTGACCTCGGCAGAATAGTTGTGGGAATCTTCCTTTAACACGGTGAAGGAGATGTCAGGGATTGACACCACGTCTGAGGGAGGAAGACGTCGGAGAATTCAATGTTGTTCAATGAAACCGTATCACATTTACAAACTTTGAACGTGAGAGGTTATTCATGGCAGCTGACCTTTGACTGTGATCATAACTTGAGAGCTGGAGGTGAAGTTTGTTTTGTTAAAGTGGTTGGTGGCGACACACATATAGGATCCGCTGTCTTTGGAAGTAGTTCTGAGGATGAAACGCATCATCCCATCATTAACTTCCTTCACTTAGAAAACAGCATGCCCAGTGGCTGGCCTCCATGACAAAGGACTTCTCTCTCAGACAGTGTTGAACAAATGTTTGTTGCGCAAAATGAGTCATAGAACACAGGAACTTGCTTAATGAAAAGCTGCAACGCGTTCCAGCATTTTACCGCTTTTTTATAGAATCACAAGGCAACCACCTCCCACCAACCACTTAGCAACCACCGATAGGGCCCCAGTTTCATGTTTGCACCAGTACATTCAGCTGCTCACACCACCATGGCAACCCTAAAATCTCGATGGGATTCGACTGACCTGTTGATCAAGAGATTGTTATCTGCAACATGGTGGAGAGGTGACTGAGAGACATGTTGACCATTCAGCAGCCACTCGTAGGAGACGTGATTTCCAGCGATGAGTTCACAGTGTAGCTCCAGCGTCTTCCCCTCAAAGAAGTCCACTGGACCTGATCGAACGGCAATCTCTGCACCCTCCACTGGCTCTGCAGGACAGATACAGCAACAGACTGAGATCCTGGTCTTATTTCAAACCAACAAGAATTCTTAATGGAGGGGAGGGAAGTAAAAAACCTTCTGGTGTCCAAATATGATTACTGTTGTAATGTGGCTCTATTGATGGCAATGTTGTTGTTGTGTTGTGGCGGTTCATCACTCTGGACCTGTCTGAATATCTCAACAACTATTGGATCGACTGTCATGACATTTCGTCCAGACGTTCATGTTCCCCTGAGGATGAATCCTTCTGACGTTGGTTATCCCTTGACTGTCCCAACATCATATTACAGGGACATCATTGTGCCACTGTCTTGGCTTCAGTTATGGAAACATGAAGGTTTTCTTTCGTTAAGAAAACAGCTGGGTGGCTACTTATGGACAGCAAATGGGGGGTAACGTGTCAGAGCATTCATTGAAGGGGGCCTGCGTTAAATGTACACAATGCTGATGTAATATTTTGTGAACCCTTTGTTTTGTTCTTTTCTTTATTCAATCAGGTAAAAGTCTGATTGGGATTCAAATCTGTTTTGTCAAGAGAGATTTTGGCTCAGAGGCAGTTTACAGTAAAAGTAGTGCAAAAGTAGTGCAAGTAGTACAAATTTCCCCTTGGGGATAAATAAAGTATATTTCTATTCTATTCTATTCTTCTAGTGAAATAACTGTAACATAGACAGTATGCCCAAGCTAAGAAAAATGTCACCTTACAAAAACAAGCTGTTCGAGAAATGTTTTTTTCTCATTTTGTTGAGCTTTTACAAGCACGAACGCCCTGAATGCTCGATGTTACTGCTACAGGGAAGCCATGTACATGTGACATACAATACATCCATGGTAAAGAAGAGACTCACCAACAACCTTCAGGTAGTGTGTGTAGCTGACAGTGGGCTCTATGTTAGAGTTGTTTTGAGCCTTGGCCACACACTCCAGGCTGCCTTCATGGTATGGTGCGATTACCATGGGAATTGTTCCAACCTCCCCGTTCAGGGAGGTTGATTCGCCCAACAACTTGTCACGGTTATCCTTCCTAGTAAAGGTTGATAATTTGAGAGGTTTCTATCATTGCTAAATGGATTTTGTTGCAGTGGTTAGATTTAATGTGAACAAATACTCACTTGATTAACTGCAGCAGGATATTTTCATTCTCGGGGTAGATTTTCAGTTCACACTGAAAATCTATAATGCTATTCACCAAAGCTTCCGAAGGGCCAATTACTTCTGGACGCCCCAGAGTGGACCGGCCTATCAGAATCAGAATCAGAATCAGAATCAGATGTAGAACATTTAACAATATGTACAATATAAGTATAAACATATATCCAAAAGAAGTATATATATGAACATAAACCTATAAACAACAATGGAATTGAGGTGATAGTGCAAGTAGTGGTAATAGTGCAGACAGAGGTAGTAGTGCAATATGTCTGATTAATTGTTCATCAGAGTGACGGCCAGCGGACAGAAGCTGTTCCTGTGTCTGGTGGTTTTGGCGCACAGCGCTCTGTAGCGCCTACCAGAGGGGAGGAGTTGGAACAGGTCGTATCCAGGGTGTTTATCAAAAATAATACAATAAAATAAAACTACACAAACACTCAACAGAAAGAATCAAGAGCTACACAATTGACTAAATATGTACTAACAGACATTCAAAACATATAAGTGACTTACTGCTCCCCTTGCTACAGGTGCAAAACCCTGTAGAGATGAAGAAGAAATCAAAAAGTTGACAAGAGTTTCATGTTGTGAAATGTACTGCAGTGCAGTTTGTGTTGAGTAGCTTACCCAGTATGACCACGAAAAGGGAAGCAAACATTCTTGAAGAACAGTCGTTAATAAAACTATAAACTCTAAATATGACTACGCTGCGCTGTGTTTTGCAGAAGTTTTGACAGGGTCAAATGGAGGTTTGAGGCACTGCTGGTGAAAAAAGTGCACACACACATTTAAAAATGTGCAAATAACTGATAGTGATAAACTAACCCCTCCCTGCAGTCCC